GCTACACGCTGCCCGCCCCCACTGCCTGCTCCCTTCCTGATCTGGATTCCACCCTGGACCTGTGGGGGAAGAAGAGGGTGCTAGAATCTGTGCTTCTCACCCAGGGCCCCAACAGGCCAGGGTGCCTAGCCCATTGGCTCCCAGGCTGGCCACCTGTGCACTGAGCTAATGGGAGGTGTGCACTTATGTGACTGCCACCTGACTGTGTCCTCCCACCATGAGGGGTCTGTCGTGATGTGTGTGTGTGGTGTACACTGGCTCCTGGGCAGGGGCTGAATGGTGTCTCCTGCAGACGTGGATGAGTGTGATCAGGCTCTACACGACTGCCGCCCCAGCCAGCAGTGCCATAACCTGCCCGGCTCCTATCAATGCACCTGCCCTGACGGCTACCGCAAGATCGGGCCCGAGTGTGTGGGTGAGTGCAGCCTGGGCCTTGGGTGCCAGAGACCCGGGGGTTCTGATTCTGAGCCCCCAGCCTTTGTGCACCCTGGCACCTGACCTCTGCTCATTGCCCCTGGGCGCTGCTGCTGCTGCTGCTGCCCCTGGGACCAGCGTCCCCCCAGGACTCCGAGGAGCATGACAGCTATACGGTGGGGACTACCGGCCAGGCCACTGGGGGGATCCTGGTCGATGGGGCCATTGTTTGAAGCGGGCCGGGAGGGGGCCCGGGCTTGGGCCTTGGAGGGAACAGGGGGCTGACCACTGGCCACCTCTGGTCCCCTTCCAGGAGTGTACAGATGGTTATGAGTGGGATCCTGACAGCCAGCACTGCCGGGGTGAGTGTGCCTGGGTGCTGACCGTCCAGGCGCCCAGCGCCTGCCCTCCGCCTGGCTCTGCTGAGACAAGGCCAGCTCTAGGTCCCAGGGCCCAACTCAGTGAGGGGGTGGAGGAGTCATCTAGGCCCCTCCCTTTCTGAGAAGCCCAGGAAATCCTGCTCCCACCCCCAGAAGCCAAGAGAGTCAGAGGGCACTGCCCAGGGAGGCAAGTCCAGGACACCCGCTCTGGACCCTCCTCTTGCACCATTACAAACCAGGAGGGCTGTCCTTAGGGGGTGGCACAGGGCCTGCATGTCACTCTGGCTGAGCCAGGACTTTGGGGACAGGGACAGACCCACCTGGATGAAGGAGAATGGGCTGAAAGGTGGGGCCAGCCAACCTGAGGAAGGGCACCGGGCCAGCAGCCTCAGCCTCTTGATTAGAGACAGCCTTGCTGGGTCACTCAGGAAGCGAGGCTCCTGCCTCCACACTCCAGGGCCACCAGCCCAGGAGACTGCCCCTCAGGCCCCTCTTTGCAGATGTCCAGGGGCAGGGAGCAAGGAACGCATGGGCTTCACTGTGCTTAGTCACTAATCCGTGGTGAACGTTTTCACCTGGCTGCCACCTGAAATGGTAAGTAAGCACCACTGGGATGGTACTTACCTTGCTGGGAATCCACCCCTGCAGACGTCAATGAGTGCTTGACCATCCCTGAGGCCTGCAAGGGAGAGATGAAATGCATTAACCATTACGGGGGCTATCTGTGCCTGCCCCGCTCGGCTGCCGTCATCAGTGACCTGCACAGCGAGGGATCCCCACCTGCCTTGCCTCTCGCTCCACATCCCAACCCTTGCCCTCCAGGCTATGAACCCGATGAGCAGGAGAGCTGTGTGGGTGAGTGCGGGGCACCCCGGCCCTGCAACTTCCACCCCTCCCACCAATCACCCACTGTTGCATCTCCAAATATCAGTTCATGCTCCTCCGAGGCTCCAAAGCTTTAAGTGGCTCCCCAGGGCCACGGGGAGGACATCAGACCATCACCAAGACCCTCACAGTGGGCGGAGCCTGCTCTCAGTGACTCCAACTCCCAGCCCATTGCCCCAGCCAGCCTCTGGGATCTCTCAGACGCTACACGCTGCCCGCCCCCACTGCCTGCTCCCTTCCTGATCTGGATTCCACCCTGGACCTGTGGGGGAAGAAGAGGGTGCTAGAATCTGTGCTTCTCACCCAGGGCCCCAACAGGCCAGGGTGCCTAGCCCATTGGCTCCCAGGCTGGCCACCTGTGCACTGAGCTAATGGGAGGTGTGCACTTATGTGACTGCCACCTGACTGTGTCCTCCCACCATGAGGGGTCTGTCGTGATGTGTGTGTGTGGTGTACACTGGCTCCTGGGCAGGGGCTGAATGGTGTCTCCTGCAGACGTGGATGAGTGTGATCAGGCTCTACACGACTGCCGCCCCAGCCAGCAGTGCCATAACCTGCCCGGCTCCTATCAATGCACCTGCCCTGACGGCTACCGCAAGATCGGGCCCGAGTGTGTGGGTGAGTGCAGCCTGGGCCTTGGGTGCCAGAGACCCGGGGGTTCTGATTCTGAGCCCCCAGCCTTTGTGCACCCTGGCACCTGACCTCTGCTCATTGCCCCTCTCCCAGGTAGAGTTCCGTTTCACTTCAGACCCCTGCCACCACCCAATGCCACCACCTACAGAGGCCTAAATGGTGGCAGGGGTGTCCCGGCTGACCTGGTCTTGTCCAGTCCCCCAGACACTGATAGGACTCTGGGTGGTAAGACCCCACCTGCCTTCTGAGCCCACCCTCTTTCCCCTGCCCGCATCAGACATAGATGAATGCCGTTACCGCTACTGCCAGCACCGCTGCGTGAACCTGCCTGGCTCCTTCCGCTGCCAGTGTGAGCCCGGCTTTCAGCTGGGACCCAACAACCGCTCCTGTGTGGGTGAGGCTGGGCAGGACCAGGCTCCTGGGCCCTGGGCAGGGAGTGCAGGCAGACGGGGGAGTCCCTTTCCTGGGCGGCTCAGTTCGGGGGGAGGGCTCGGGGCTGCTCCTCTGCTTCCACTCCTTCCATGTTTGCTGGCACCCCTAGATGTGAATGAGTGTGACATGGGGGCCCCGTGCGAGCAGCGCTGTTTCAACTCCTATGGGACCTTCCTGTGTCGTTGCCACCAGGGCTATGAGCTGCACCGAGATGGCTTCTCCTGTAACGGTGAGACCTCTGCCTCCTCGGCTGTCCCTGTCACGTGTTCCCCCACTTGTCCCCCCCCCCTTGCCCCCCTTGTATCCACCTCCTGCCGAACAGTCCTCTGTCTGATGGTTCTATGTCCTGTCCACTCTGTACCCACACACTCCTGTGTTCCCTACTCAGGCTGGGCCCCCGCCCGGGGACAGGGAAGGCAGGGAGAACAGTGCTGACACTGCTGGTGCTCCCTGGGGAAAATTAGGCCTGAGCATGTGAGTGTGGCCAGGGCCTCGGGGCCCAGAGTCCTCAGGGTTCTGATCCTCCAGTCTGCTTGTGCCCTGACTTCTGACCTCCACTTCATCCCGCCCCCAACCTCCCAGGTAGAATTCAGCTTCACCCCAGTCTGAGCAAGAATGTGGGTCCCACACTCCTCAGGAGTCAGGCAGTCCCACCTTCGAATCCTAGACGAGGGTGAGGCCCTCTGCTCCCTGAGCCCCTCACATCGTCAGTAAAATGAGTGGTTTGAGGATTCAACGGGAACAGGCGGAGAGACGGGCTTCTTCACATCTTAGCCGCAATGCTAAAGGCAGAAACAAACCTGTTGTCATAGAATGGAGTCGATTCTGGCTCATACTGACTGACTCTATAGGTCAGGGTGGAACTGCCTCCATAGGGTTTCCAAGGCTCTCTTAGCAGCCTAACCCACCCCTTGGTCCCCAATCTGAGGCACCCAGTCTAGAATTCCCGTGACTGAAAGCTTTATCTTTCTCCCACACAAGGACTGGTGGGTTTGAACCGGTGACCAGGTGGTTAACAGCTCAAGGCCTAATCCACAGTACCAGAGCTCTTTAGCAAACCCAGAACAAACCAACCAAACCCACTGTCAGTCAATTCCAACTCATAGTGACCGGGAGGCTTTGCAAATCTTTACAGGGAAAAGCCAGCCTCATCCTGCTCCGAGGAGCAGCTGGTGGGTTTGAACTGCCAATCTTGCAGTTAGCAGTCCAGCACCACCGGGGCTCCTCTGGGCAACACGGTAGAATTATTGAATCTTTACCCGGCGCCAGGCACCGGACTCCCCCCACTTTGCCAAATGTAATCTTGTCAACCACCCTGTGAGGTAAGTGCACTTGTTCTCCTTCTACAAAATTTGGACATGAATATCGCCCTCCGGGCTTGTTGGAGGATGGCAAAACCCCATAAGCACTCAAGCCTGCCTGCTGAATAGATGGTGACTTTCATGATACAAAGAAGAGCGGCGATGAGAGCCTGCCAAGGTCACAAAGCTGGCGGTGAGGTGGGGCCAGGACCTGATCTCTGTCTTGGCACCACAGGCACTAGGTAGGGGGTGACCGGGTACTTGGGCAGATTCTGGGCCACAGGGATTGGGCAAATAACGGAAAACCAGAGCAGGCTGGGTTCTCAAGTCTCATCTACTCTCACCTGCTTGCCAGTCTGGAGGATCCGAAGCCAGGCCTGAGAGTCCCAGGGCTCTCATTTCGTTCCTTCCTGCAGTCCTGGGGCAGTGTGGGACATCTTGCCCCGCTAGAGTTTGACTACTAGGCTTAAAGGTTGGTGGTTCAAACAAACGCAGGCGCATCTCCAGAAGGAATGGCCTGGGGATGAACGTTTCTGTGAGGTGGAGACCTCAGGGAGCCTTCTGCTCTGTACCAGGTGGGGGCACCAGGAGTGGAGTGGACGCCACAGCCGGGGTCCGTTTTTACTCGGTGTGGAGGGCCGTTTCTTTGCCCTCTGACGGCTGAGCGCTCCGTCGATGCTGGTTGAACTGCTTGGCTCCAAGAACCCTGCCCCCCACTCGCCTTCAGCCCCGCCCCGCATCTGATCAGCCCCACCCCCCTCCCCAGATATCGATGAATGCAGCTACTCCAATTACCTGTGCCAGTACCGCTGTGTCAACGAGCCAGGACGTTTCTCCTGCCACTGTCCGCAGGGCTACCAGCTGCTGGCCACCCGCCTCTGCCAAGGTACGGTTGCCGGGGCGGGCTGGGTAGGGTGGTGAGGGGCTGCAGGTCTGACGCCTGGGTCCCAGCCCCTGCCCCCTGACGCAGATGTTAACGAGTGTGAGTCGGGCGAGTACCAGTGCTCTGAGACCCAGACCTGTGTCAACTACCATGGGGGCTACCGGTGCGTGGACACCAACCGCTGCGTGGAGCCCTACGTCCAGGTGTCCGACAAGTGAGTCAAACGCAATGTCGAGCGCTTGGAGGAACTACAACTCCCAGCGG